CTCTCTCTCTCTCTCTGTGTGTGTGTGTGTGTGTGTGTGTGTGTGTGTGTGTGTGTGTGTGTGTGTGTGTGTGTGTGTGTGTGTCAACGAATTGCAGCGCAATCGAACAACCTGGCTATGCCAGGAACAACACTTCTGCATTGCAACGTACTCACATTCTACCATGCAAACATCCATCATAGAGTCGATTGGGTCACCTGTATACACTTTAGCTTTGACAAAAAGCTTTCATTTCCCATTGCACTCCCCTGCGTAGCGTGATGTTCCTCAAGCTCATTCAGCCGGGAGGGAGCATGAGAGTGGGAGGGGAAGGGCGGAAGAAGGACTGTAAGGGAGGGGGCGAGCCCGTACAGCGGAGGGTACGATGGTTGGGTGGGGCTAAGAGGGCGGGGGGGAGTGAAGATGAGCAAGAGTGAGAGAGTACCTTCTGCGCCAGGACCAATTTCCTGGTCGGAGAAGGAGGGTGGCGCATCCCTGAAGTGCTTTTCGCTGTGCGTGCCTTGGACAGCTCATCAGAGGGGAGAGGAGTAAGTTGAGAGATGGTATGTAGGAGATGAATTGGCCCATGGTGGAGGGCGGTAATCTTCCTCATCTGGCCCAATCGCTAGGGGAGAACGCACATTCCACCTGCCTGGGCTAATCATTCAGGTGGCAGAGAGAAAAAGGGTTTTTTACGGGTAGCAAGTAGGCTTGGGGTTGGTTTGCAGGGATGGGTGTTGCGAAGTGTAAAAGGTCACTGTAGTGGGTAAGTTCGTATTACCGTGTGTGCATTGATTTCAGCGTCGGTGATCTGCTCCTTGGCCATTGTCGCCATCGCTGGGTGGAAGCTCGCAGGTATGCCGTATCAGGGCTGTGGAGTCGTGCCCGGAGCCGTCACTATCCGCAAGTCACGTTGTGTGCTTGTGGATGGACACCCTGGGGCAGACGAAGAAACAGGGCTCGTTCTTCCGGGACGGGATCGAAGTGGTGATGACAATGCTGGTTGCACGTTCTCCTCCAAGGTTCAGAGGCGTAGTGAGGACGTTGCTGGTGTAGATATATTTGCTGTGTTATGTTGTGTAGTCGTGTAGGTGTTCAGGTGCGGGTGGGGTTAGGGGGAAATTCGGGAAGTGATCGGCGGTTGTAGGTGTGCCAGTGAATCAGGCGGGATGCTTCTGTCTTGTCTCAGTGGTTAGCTGGGGTCTTGCTGTTGTGTTTAGAATCTTTAGATGTTGCTTAATTAAACTAGAGGGTTTTGGTCATGGGATATTCCGATATTCTATGTAGGTGTGTTTAGTTTCATTTTTATTATTTTATTTTATATTTTAAGGAAAGGGGAATTGGTATTCTATAGCCGTGCTGGCTGTGTTCAGGGTATGGATGTAGTGTTAAATTCCTGCCATCATCCGATCTGAGGTAATTCAGTAGCTTCCCTTCATTAATTATTAGTGATTTAAAAAAAAGAAAAAGAGAAAAAGTATTAGTGATTTAATCGTGTGGTTTTTTTTTCTTGGGTTGGTAGGGTGTGATTTTCTTTGGTGGGAAGTCATCATGGGATTGTACGTTGTTTGTAGTAGCCCCATTTTGTCCGTATGTTTCATCGGTAAGTTTTCAGTATTTTTTTTTTTTTGGTGGTGTTGCTGATATGTCGTGTAGTGCTTGCCCGTGTCGTGTTCTGGTGTCGCTTCGTTTTTCTCACATTTTTTTGGAATTTTACTTTTCGAGTCACCGCTCCCTTAGCTTTGACGTTTTTCTTTTTTTGTCTTTGGGCTCAGTTTTTTGTGTGTGATTGTCTTTTATGGTGACGTTTTGTTTGAAGATTGGTGTCAGCAGTTTGTTTTTTGTATATTGGATTTGAGCGGGGGGGGGGGAAGGTTTCGCGCGCCGTTTTTGATTTCTATTGAAACCATGGTGATTGTGGCGGGATATGGGTGTGCCGCTGATGCTTTTTTTCTTTTTTGCGATCTCACAGGTGTGAGTCGTTCTGCTCATTCGTGAGCATAGGTACATGGTCGGGGGGTAGGGATGTGGGTGTTTTTTGGGGGGGGGTATCGCAGGGGTAGAGTTGGTGCTTGTTGTGTTAGTTGGGCAGTATTGCAGGCTTTGTTTGTGTTTTGGTAGGGTTTATGGGTGAGGTTTGCGTTCTATAACCTGCGTTTTTCTTTCCCGTGTGTATTTCTTATTCTAATGTTGGGCATAGGTTTATGTTTGAAGATATCTTGTATGTATGTGTGTGTGTGTGTGTGTGTGTGTGTGTGTGTGTGTGTGTGTGTGTGTGTGTGTGTGTGTGTGTGTGTGTGTGTG